AGAGAGAGAGAGAGAGAGAGAGAGAGAGAGAGAGAGAGAGAGAGCTCCTTCTTCCTCTTCTAAGTCCGCCACCTCTCCCTCACCCTCTCGCTACCTGACTTCTCAGTATCTGCAGACTACGAGAGAGAGAGAGAGAGAGAGGGATTGGTGACTTTAGGACTCAACAACATTTGGATCCAGACTCAACATCGGGATTGAGACATTTGACGAGGGACTATTTGGGACCTGTGCCGAAGACTTGGTGTTGCCGACATTCCCATCTCCCCCCTCTTCTTCATCAGATCCCCTCCTCTTCGTTTGTGTATGGTCTGGACCTGGCGCATTCTTCCAGTGTGTACCGCCAGGCCCTTCACACCTTGCAATGACGATGATGTATGTTGGGTCTGCATTGCGACATTGATTGGGTTGATCATTGGTATTTTAGCCTTCCGCTGCGCTATCTTGTACTATGTGAGAGAGGTCGGTTCTTGTTCTGGTCTATACCGTTATGGTATGCAACAGCCCTCCTCGTCGCATCCTTCTTCTCTATCTCTCCTCCTCCTCCTCCTTTATCTCCCCTCCTCATCACGACCTCATTCAAAACTTGAAACGCTTATCGCCCCTCCTCCTCTTCGAGTCCTCCTCCCCCTCCTCCTCGTCACCTTCTCCACCATCTTGTCCCTCGTCACCTCCTCCCTCCATCTGTCGTTGTCCTCCTCCTCCATCTCTTGTCCTCCTCCTCCATCTCTTGTTCTCCTCCTCCTCCATCCCTTTTGTCCTCCTCGTCACAGCCTCGTCACCTTTTTCTTTTTTTCCCTTTTTTTGAAATATGAAATGGCTGGGTCCTTGTGCTCTTCCGTTGTTGTTGTCCTCCTCCGTATCTTCTCCTACTCGTCATGTCCTCCTCCCATCCCTCCACCTTTCCTCCTCCTCGTCACATCCTTCTTCTCCATCTCTCCTTCTCCTCCTCCTCCATCTATCGTTGTCCTTGTCCCCCATCTTGCCGTCCTCCTCTTCCATCCCTTGCTGTCCCCCTCATCCCTCTATTCTCGTCCTCATCATGGCCTCGTCAACTTTTTGTTTTTTTAATATCAAATGGCGGGGTCCTCGTCGTCCTCCTCCTCCTCGTCACCTCCTCCTCCATCTCTCCTCCTCGTAACTCGCTCTCCTCCTCCTCATAACAGCCTCGTCACCTTTTTCTTTTCTTTTATTTGAAATATCAAATGGTGGGGTCATCATCCTCCTATTCCTCCTTGTCACCTCCTCCTCTTCCTCCTTGTCACCTCCTCCTCTCCTCCCCGTAACTTTGCTCTCGTCCTCCTCGTCACCGCCTCATCAGCTTCCCTAATACTCTAAAGCAAACAGCAGGTCTCGCGTGACAGTCCCACGTGAGACCCGCTTCGCTGGCGGTGCAGTCCCGGCGGTCCCACGCGGATGGTAGCAGGCCGATTTGTCGTTTTGTTGTTGTCGGCCCTATCGGAGGGGTGGGGGGTTTGTCGGTTTGGGCCGGGGGGGTTGTCGGTTTGGGCCGGGGGGGTTGTCGTTTCGGCCTCGCGTGTATCGGGACGGCGTATCAGGGTGGGGGAGGTGAGTATTCAGAGTTTCGTTTGTTTTTTTTGGGCCTGCAAGCACCAGGACACGATATTGGGGCGAGGGGAAGGATAGGGGTTGGCCCTCTGTGTTTGGTTTTGCTCTTTCGGCTCGCCAAGTACCGGGACGCGACATTGGGGCGGAGGGGAAGGATGCGAGGGGTTGGCAGCGAGCGGGCAGCAGAGGTGTGCATGTCGGGCGGGTGTGAAACAGCGAGCGGGCGCGAGAGGTGTGCATGTCGGGGGGGCCAACAGCAGTATTTCCCGGCCCCCGCGCACCGTTCTTCCCCACCGGCAATCTTCTCCCCCCCCCCCCGACTTACCACGACCTCCAGGAATCGACGGTGGCTGTGTGTGTGTGAGATGTGTATAAGAGACAGTCGCAAGCCATGTCCCATCGGCGCCGGTGATCTG